GAGAAAGCTAATGCTAAGCTTTGACTTCTGCAACTATTCAGTAACATTCAATGCAAAAATAATGGGACATCAGAACATTAGAGAACCAGCCATTGTTATTTTGAATGATCATGGTGCTTATTAAGCCTTTGTTTCAATGCAGACTGCTGAAATAATTGATGATGCCATTAATTAGTTTCAACCAGATAAATTTTTGGTAGTTTGGTAATGGCAACTTTCTAAATAGGATGTCAAAATGAAAGATAAATGGAGATGTTTAAAAATGCCTAGCTGTGTCAAAGGAAAGCTCGCAAATGATTTCTTAGGCACAATAGTTTTGTACCACTTCAGTCCACCTGGCATCCTTAGCTTTAGCTTATAAATCAAGTTGACTAAATAAGGCGGACAGAAATTCATTTGTGACTTTGTCTTTGACATCTTATACAGGAGGATAAATGAATAAGACGAATGGAATCTACTTTGAAGAATGAGTTTCTAAAAGCAGGATTGTTTGTCATTAGTTCCACTCAGTGAGGGCGGGTCTGCAGGTGAGACCTTGGTGCCTTGTCGAAAGGCTCCAAGCCGGCCCTGGAGAAACTGAGCAAATGAAAAATAAAATGCTAATATCAACAGTGACCGTTGTAAAAAAAAAAAAAACAAAGGTACTTCAAGAAAATACAGGACCTTTTGTGGGGTATTTTTGATTAGGTGGTATAAGTTTTCAGTGGTGTGTAGACTTTTGGGAGGAATGCTTTGCAGGTGAAATGAAACGTGTGAACCCCTTGAGAATAAAACTAGTAGGCTTTACAGTGAGTGGGAAAGCAGAGGCTTTGGAAATGGAAGTTTCCGCATTTCGTTCTCATGCTGCAGCTCACGGGTGTTCCCGAATAAGGAATACACGCTCTCCAAGCCCCAGTTTTTTTAATTTGTAAAAGCGGAGATTAAAATACCTACCTCGAAGAGTTTTGAGAGAAATAGATGAAGTTGATAGATAATAATCACTCGACGAATATGTGTCCTGCCTTTAAGGAGGTTTCTGGTATTGTGCAGATGGAGAGGGCAGCTGTTGGTAAAGATTTCCGGCATCGCCGATGTTGAAAGTACCTCTTACAACATCAGGTATGGGAAATGGGACTAGTTTAGAACTTGCTGTTTTTCAGGAAGGCAGAGAGATGTGCTCTTAGAATGTGACAGTTAATGATTTTTCCCACTGCTGGCTCAAGTGTCACATAATTCACCCTGGTTTATGTTGTATGTCTCGAGATGTGGCCACAAGTCCCACTGAGGTCAGTTATAGGCGTAAGTATTTATATTGGAGCGTTTGTGTTTCTGGAGTCCTCTGCCGTTGGTCTGGTCACACACACTAATTATCGCCACGGGGAGACAGTGAAGTCCCCTTGGCGGTGACTGCATTATGAATTGGTCACCACACACTGAGCCAGAGCACTTGGGAGCTTCCTGTCCAGGTACCCTCTGGCCTCGGTGTAGCTCACAGGGAGGTTGGTTACATCATTATTGGTCATAAGACAGGCTCCGGTGACTGTCCAGACTTTGATCAGTGCCTGATGCATCCTGATTTTTTTTTTTTTTTGCAGTACGCGGGCCTCTCACTGTTGTGGCCTCTCCCGTTGCGGAGCACAGGCTCCAGACGCGCAGGCTCAGCGGCCATGGCTCACGGGCCCAGCCGCTCCACGGCATGTGGGATCTTCCTGGACCGGGGCACAAACCAATGTCCCCTGCATCGGCAGGCAGGCGGACTCTCCACCACTGTGCCACCAGGGAAGCCCTAGATAGATCTTCTGAAATGCAAACATCCTAGGGAAAAGAAACACCTTTGTAGTGTAAGTTGACCTTTGCCTTACTTTGCTCAGCTCCTAGCTGAGCATACTAGGACTTGAGATAAAGGCGGTTGTAAATGCAAAGGAGAGAGAAGAGGCAGTGTTTAACCTGGGCCACCAGGCAGGCAGCCCTGGGAGCCTCCTTTGCAGAGCCTAGGGAAGTGCAGACTCCAGAGAACATGACCGCTGAAAGGGGGGTGAGATTTCATCAAGGCAAACTGTCTCCCTTTCATTTTTGTTCAAGTTCTTTATCAAGGAAAGAAAATAGAGAGGGAGAGTCCAGACCTTGGTTTTAGTTCCTTAGAGAAAGCTTTGTCAAATACAATTAGGACCCCCTAGTTGGATGATTAATCATTTGAGAGTGGAAATAATGAAAAATGACACATGCCCACCATAAACATTTTATTAAACTTAGAAATATCAACGCTCAGAATCGGTTAGTCTTTCATTTAGTGTCAAGAGTGTTTCTTTGGATATGGGTTCTCTGTTTTGTGTTCCATAATTGTCTTTCCCTCACAAATCATAGTCACGACGCACCATCGGTGATGTCCAGTCTTTATTTCTTTAAATCCAGAACATCAAAACTTTCCAAGCAGCTCAGTACTGAATCTGTCTAGATATTGAGAAGTCATGTTTTCCCCTTAGAATATTAACATTATCTCGAATATACCTAATTTTTCAGCATTTTTAGCTATTTTCATTTGTCAAGTGTTTCTAAAGCATTCAGTTTAATAGAAACAACAGGTCACTGTTTTTCAGATTCGAATTTCATTTATTACTTAATATTTTGTTAAATTATGTAATAACAGAACCAAGTACAAGCTGCACAAACAAGTTGAGAGCAAATGTAACTTAAGTCTTGATAAGCATTGCACGTCGACCAGTGGGAACAGAGTTGTCAGGCTTGTCTTAGCTAATTCCAGTCAGTGACAGTGACTGGTTACTTAGCCATCCACATGCTTTAGTGTGTTGTGAGGGAGGGGTTAATCTAGTCCCAGATTGGTGAAGGTATCCAGGGGACCCCACCAACCCGTTACTATGCTTTTTACTGTGAACTGCATCTCGAGTTGTAAAAATTCAATATACTAATCATAACAGTAACCCATGAAGGCATTTTTTGGTATCTAATCACAAAGAAGTAGCCATGTGGCTAGGGAGAGCAGGGCATGGAGTTTGCCATCACTCAAGGTTTGCTGTCTCTTGATATCCCTGGATTCAAGGGATAAGCTCATGAGTTAGATGTGAGCTGAAAGTCCCAGCTCACTCAAGTGCTTCTGCCAGGCTCTTCCTGTTACGTAAAAGCTAAAAGGAGTCCATGCAGATTACAGTGTTATTCTATATATGATAATTAGTTCTCAAAGTATAACTAGTTCATGTAGTGATTTGTTAATTTGGTTCATTACTTGATTCACTTTTAAGAAGCAGTCATTAACTTCATTATTTTTACTTTTTAGTTAGGCAGAAAAAATTCATACCAATTATTACTTGCTAAACCATTTGGTGTTGAATGAAAAGCAAAAATCTAGAAAAAAAGCAACTTTGGCTCTAACAGCCTGAACGTTGGGGTCAAACTTGTCTTGCTTTCCTGCCCCCCAAATTAAATTAGCTATGACTTAAAGCAGAACGTGTAGATAGCTATAAAAAACTTGGGTGATTTTTTTTGCTGTTTCATGTTTATTTCGTATTACCTCAGATTTATTTTGATTTCCATTTCATAGTGCCTGATACCAGAATTTGTACAGACCTCTTGAAAGACCACGCCCTCCGAGAAAATTCACATTATTGAAAGTTATGGATAACTGAATGGCAAGAGGAGTTTCTTAGTGGATGTGGTTCTTGATCAAGCCTGGACAAATTCTGCCCCGTCATGTGTCATAAACTATGGTACAGAACGCATCCGAAGTGCCAGGGGAAAACCAGCATTATGCCATCACCCGTATTACCATCCCTGACTCTCGTCTCTCTTGAAGAAGGAATTCACGTGGCTGGTGATGGACGTTTTGATTTGAGATGCACATAACAAACACTTAGACTCGTTAGATATAAGCACTGAATCTTTAGGTTCAGTCCAGTTTTAGATTTGGCTAAGGGATTCCTGGTGGGCACAGCAAAATGAGAAACATCATAAGATTCATATTATCCATAAGATAGGAACTGACCAGTTTTTAAGAAAAGCAAGCTTCTTTTAAAAATTCAGAGGGGAACTTTCCTGGAGATCCAGTGGTTGAGACTCCACGCTTCCACTGCAGGGGGCACAGGGTTCCATCCCTGGTCAGGGAACTAGGATCCCACATGCTGCTCAGTGCAGCCAAAAAAAAAAAAGTTTCAGAGAGGAAGGATGTGAGAATGGAATGTAAATAATTTCCCCCTTTAACCCAGAGGATTGGCTTACGTGGCAGTTTTCCCCCTGCTTTTATGTGTCCATGTAGAGAGAGGATATATGACTCAGGGGGCAAAGGTCAAGAGTCTGGACGTTTGGGTAATGAATACCTTGCTCTGGGAAGATGACTGAGCACAGTGTCCCGAGGACATGTAAGATCAAAAGAATCTCCTTGTTTTGGGGGACCTTTATCAGCTCACCTGCAAGGTCTTTTTAAGCTGCACTGTTCAGCTGGTGATTTTGTTGCCTGTCTCGTGGATGTCCACACTAATGAAAAACGTTTTGCCCAGAGAATCTTTTTTCTTGTTGAGGGACAAATATCAGAAAAGGTTCACAGTCTCTGTAACTATCCCTAGTAATTAGTCTCAGAACTCAGTGCCTTTATCAAAGGGAATTTCTAGAACAGTGTATTATTGCTTAAGCCACCTCCTTATCTGCCATTCGTGGAGTTTCTCAGATATTTCCTGACTTTCTTGTCTGCCTCTGGATCAAAAAAATGAAATGTAGAGCAAGTGAGGAAATAGTTTAAGAAAAAAAAAAAAAAAGGAAGAACAGAAAAAGAAATACAGAATAAAGCTTTAGTATGTATCTTCCCAATAAATGGGATGCGGTGTTTAGATTTTTTTTTTTTTTTTTGCGGTACGTGGGCCTCTCATTGCTGTGGCCTCCCCCGTTGCAGAGCTCAGGCTCCCGACGCGCAGGCTCAGCGGCCATGGCTAACGGGCCCAGCCGCTCCGCGGCATATGAGGTCTTTTCGGATCGGGGCACGAACCCACGTTCCCTGCATCGGCAGGCAGACTCTCAACCACTGCGCCACCAGGGAAGCCCGGTGTTTAGATTTTTATCATCCATCTAATGTAAGGTGTTCTTGCGCGTCACAGTTTGATCTTTCTGCCTCTTTTTTTTTTTTTTTCTCTCTCTCTTATTGTTGACTTGACCTGGTTTCTTTACGTAGAGAATCTGGAAATGTTTTTGTTCTTTGAGGAAAGAGCTATGCGTGAAAGCCCCACTGCCTGTGGGGACTGTAGGGTGGGTAATATTTGGGTGTACTTTCAGGGTCAGGTCTTACCTTGCTCAGGGAATGTTGTATGTGTGGGTAGGTTATTAAAGACATGGTGGTTTCACAATGTATGTGGATATCAACTCATCGTATTGTACAGCTTAAAAAAATTTTTTAAAAATTAAGCAGTGGTAGCTCCAGTAGCTGTTGATGAATGCCTGAGGCTTGGTGGAAAGAACTTCTGTTTACTGTGAGTACTGTCTCTCTGATTAGCAGTTGTGTGTTTCATCCCACGACCCAACATAGATTTTTTGATGTATTTATTTTATTTTTATTTCTTCTTTCTGGGTGCCTTATGTTTTTTGTGTGTGTTCGTGTGTGATTTTCAAAACAAAAATTGGGTTCATGCCAAATTACGGCTTAAAAAACATTTTATAATGACAATTCTTGAAAATGTGGAGTGACTAGTAGCACGCTCTATATCCTTATCACCCAGCATTAACAACTATCGACTTTCTCTGATTCTGATTCTACCTTTCCCTCTGCCCTACTTTGTTCAGGGTCGGGGGAGGGAGAGAGGGGCCCAAAGCAAATCTCAGCCATCATACCATTTCCTTCCCAATACTTTGTTCTCATGTTTGTTATTCAATTATTTACTTTTTGTCTGTTGACTTTTCTTTCTCTTGTTACTGAAACAACTCTTGGACTGTGCCCTGGTGGAGTTATAAAGGTAGACTCTTCTGGAAGCATTGTCCTCTGCATGCTGCTTGATGGGCTGCTCTTCAGGGATCCTGAGGAGGACAGCCCTGCTGGTGTGAAGTTCATGGTCCGGTTACTAATAGAACCCAGAGGTATGACTGCTGCCTCCTTAGCCTGTAGAGTGCGGTGTAAGGCTAGGCCTTCGTTGAGTGATGTTATGTTTAGAAGAAGTAGACCCAAATCTAAGTCATAATGATTTGTATTATTTATTAAACTCATGCAGAAACCATAGCTTTGGATAAAACTGTCCAAAGGATTGTGTCTAGATCCTTTTTTGTTTCTGTAGCTACCTAGACAGGAAACTGTTGATATTACAATTTAATCATTTATAAATTTGCCATCCTTTGGGTAATATAGTAATCTGTGCTGCATTTCATGGTTTTGAAAGGTTTGTCATATTCAAGTCCAATAATAGCATTGTGAGGAAGGAAAGATATTAAATTTCTGCCCAGTTAACTCAAAAGAGAAGCTGAAAGATGGGAGGGGGTAGTCATTGACTTGACTTTAGGTCTTATGTCTCCTAGTCTAGAAGTCTTTCTGCTTTGGATGGTTTTTGAGTTGCTTTAGAATGTGTTGTGAAATTGGAACTTGCCTTTTCCTTTATACTTGAACATTTTTGTATCAAATGTTTGAAATTCACGCCACCTCGGATAAGGTCTTGGAGATGCTTGGGGAAGACTGTCCTCTTATTGGGTCTTATTCCAAGGCGGGGCCAGGGCAGCAAGCACAGCGCTTTTGGAGCTGATTCCTAACACCACGGTCTCTCCCCCATGACATTGGTTTTCACCTCTCTCCAGTGCTGTCCCAGACCCAGACCCAGACCATGACCATCACCATCTTTGCCTTCATGCACTGGTTACTTTTGTGACAGAGTGGAATTAATTTGATCCTAAAAGCTCTGAGATTTCTCCTGGGGACTAGAGATATGTGATCCAATAGAGAAATTGTTTGGACATTCATTCACCCCTGTAGGAATTTGTACAGGCATCAAGTTTCCCAGTTCCTCTTAAAACATCTAGACATGGACATTCTGTTGGCTTAAATTCCCTGAGGGAATAGAGTGATTCTTCAGAGCTGATGCTTCAGGAAATTTTTATAGTAGCAGTCTAAAAATGTGTATACTTGTTTCTCCCAGAGATACTTTCTTTTCTTTCACCAGTTAAAATTGGTTTCCTGCTGAAGTGTCTTGTCTGCCGCAGGTGTCTTTTGTAAAACAGGATTTATGCATTTGATTTATGGACATTACATATATATAAAGTATCAAGTGTTCTGAGTAAGAATTGAACATAATTTCAGCGCAGATATTTTAACCGATGTTTATTGTTCAAGGAATTCTTTGTGTAAAATAGGATACTCTAATTTTAATATGAAGTTGCTTTGAAAAAATTAAGGGAAAGCCAAGCCAGCTAAAATCAGGGGGATGTGTATTATGGAAGATGTTAAACAACAGGCAGTACTGTTTTCAAACTTTTTTTGCTTGTTTGTTTGTTTAACATCTTTATTGGAGTATAATTCCTTTACAATGTTGTGTTAGTTTCTGCTGTATAACAAAGTGAATCAGCTATACATATACATATATCCCCATATCCTCTCCCTCCCACTCTCCCTGTCCCAACCCTCTAGGCGGTCACAAAGCACTGAGCTGATCTCCCCGTATGATGCAGCTGCTTCCCACTAGCTATCTATTTTACATTTGGTAGTGTATATATGTCCATGCCACTCTCTCACTTCATCCCAGCTTCCCCTTCCCCCTCCCTGTGTCCTCAAGTCTGTTCTCTACGTCTTTGTCTTTATTCCTGTCCTGCCCCTAGGTTCAGCAGACCTTTTTTCTTTTTTTTTTTTTTTTTTAGATTCCATAGATATGTGTTAGCATACGGTATTTGTTTTTCTCTTTCTGACTTCCTTCACTCTGTATGACAGACTCTAGGTCCATCCACCTCACTGCAAATATCAAACATTGTTAATCAAAATAGTTGGTTAGGGCTTCCCTGGTGGCGCAGTGGTTGAGAGTCCGCCTGCCGATGCAGGGGTCATGGGTTCGTGCCCCGGTCCGGGAAGATCCCACATGTCGCGGAGCGGCTGGGCCCGTGAGCCATGGCCGCTGAGCCTGTGCGTCCAGAGCCTGTGCTCCGCAACGGGAGAGGCCACAGCAGTGAGAGGCCCGCGTACCAAAAAAAAAAAAAAAAAAAAAAAAGGTTGGTTAACCACATGTTGTCATTCCAAGGTTCTGGTCTTATCAAATAAATAAAAGACACAGATCTGCAATGAGTGCATTAACCAATATGCAAATGGTGCAGCCAAAATAATTACTGAAGTGCTTAGAAACAGTTTCGTTTATAAAAACAAAAAGCTTCATACAAAGTCTAATGAGATACAGGGCTTGTTAGAGGTTTTATGTTTTGTGGGCATAGTCGGACTCAGCAGTTCTGCAAATGGGTGTGGGCTTCCAGACCCAGGCAGCTATGGGAGGGCTTTTGTTTCGGGGAGCTGGTAGTAGCCGTGTGCATGTTGGGTGGAGGTGGGGAGAAAGACACACAGAAAGACTTCAGTCAAATCTTAGGCTCTCACTGAGAAACTGCTCTCACAGCCTGGTCTCAGCTTTGCTAGCCTTTGCCCTCTGATCTCGGGTAAAGCACTTGCTTTGATGACCCCAGTTTGTTTAGAATTTGAAGATTCAGCTAGAATCTAATTTTACAGTCGGGGTGCTTGAATTCCCCCATATGTGAGGTAGTAGGTCAAGAGGTGTGAAGTAACATGATAAACACATACTTCTTAAAGATTTGGGCAAAGAAAGTGGTTTTTGTATGAATATAACCATTATTATAGAGAATACCAAATTTACATGTAATTTTAAGGTCAACTAAACATAAAAAATTGTCCTTCTTAAAAAGTCTATGCATCCAGACTTTTGAGTGGCTATGTTTATCCTCTCTCTGCCCACAGGAGTCTTGGGAGAAAATGTTCAGAATGGTGGTTGATATCTTTGCCAGTTGCTAGATGCAATCTAAAATCTTCTTTCACTCTTAATTTATATTTACTGTTCCTCTTATAAGAGCCAATCATGGTCACTCTCCTTGTCAGTAATCAAGTGTTTTTGTTCTTTTGTCCTTGTAAGCTGGTAGGTGACTTAGAACAGGGTGTGTCCTGTGAGCAGAGTAATTCCTATTATATTGGAAGAGAGAGTCTCATTTGTTTCATTCATTCTGCAAGATCCATGGAGTGCCAACTCTATGCTAGGCACTGTTTTGGGCTTTTAATAAATGCATTTTCTCTGTTTCAGTATTTAACTCTGCCTCTCACTGTTGTGGTCTGTCTCTCCCGTTGCGGAGCACAGGCTCTGGATGCGCAGGCTCAGCGGCCATGGCTCACGGGCCCATCTGCTCCGCGACATGTGGGACCTTCCCAGACAGGGGCACGAACCCGTGTCCCCTGCATCGGCAGGTGGACTCTCAACCACTGCGCCACCAGGGAAGCCCTCTGTTAATATTTTGAGTAGATAATATATTCACATGGTTCCATGTTCAAATGGTAAGAAAGGATGTACAGTGGCAAGTATACTTCTCATCCTTGCCACCCAGGTCCACTCCCTGGAGTCAGTTCATATTGACTATTTTGAAGCTTTCAAGTCATATTTTATGTGTATATTGGCAAATTTGTATATATCTCCTTCCTTCCCTCTCTTTTAGATCCATGGTATTATACAATTACGTGTGAATCTGCTCCCTTGCTTTTTTCATTTAACAATTATATTTGCGTTTTTTAAAGTCCTGACGCATGTACATCAGACTGTTAGCACTAGTTATCTCTAAAGGATGGAGTTGAGGAAGCTTGCTTTCCCTCCCTCCCTCCCTCCCTCCCTCTCTCTCTTCCTTCCTTCCAGTCTAACTTGAACGTACTTCTCTATCGTTTGAATCGTTTATAAGGAGAATATATTGTTTTTGTAGTAAGGGGGAAAGTCCTTTTTGAAGAAAGAAAGAAATACCTTTGCCTAAGTGTTGAGGAAAGTGAAACTGTATGGAACGTCCTTCTCTAGGAAATTTATCCCCTGATGTGACCCACTGCTTTGTAGACGTGATTTGTGTTCAGGAATTGTCTGCGTGGTACATGCAGATGGCGCCCTGGAGCGCGAGAGGCACTCCAGGAAGGAGGACCGTGTCCGCAGCTCAGGCTCCGCACGAGCCCTGATGTTGTCTCTCAGCTGTTGGAGCCAGGCTGGGCAGTGGACATGTTAGCCTGGGCAGAGGGCGGAGGAGGTGGGAGAGCCTTGTGTTCGTTAGGGGCCTCCCCAGTGGTGGAGCGTTTGACCCAGAAGGATGCTCCTGAAACTGCTCGGAAAGAAGAGAGACGAATTTGTCGGTAACAGGGCTTGTGGTAACAGTGCACCTCCTTTTAAGGAACTGAAAACATGTTCCAGAGTCTTCTCTCAGCTTTACCCTCATGGTTTGAAGGGAAGGGACGGCTTCCCACTAGGAGGCGTACCGCTCAGTAGTGAAGCACACAGACGTTGGAGCCCAGTGTCGGAGCCCTGCTCCAGTGTGCGACCTTGAGTGTCTCACCTCACTTCTGGGGCTTAAGTCCTCACCTGTCAACAGGGATTCTTCATCCTTTTCGTAGGATTGCTTTGATTTCAATGAGCTTATAGTGTAAAAAGTTTAGGTCCTGGTAAACTCTCAGTAATGTGAGCTAGGAGGCAGAGCAGGAGGGTGAGAACACAAGTAAGTAATGGACCTTCCCTCTCACACGTGGGCCAGAAGTGTGCTGAGAAGAGACCCTGGACTCTTGATCCCGCTTAGTTCTCTGCTTAAACTGCACTCTGAAAATTCAGTGCTCTTCAAAGCCATTTATAGATCACTTGAGCCAGTGGTCCTCATCCTGGCCTGGGAGCCAGAGCATCAATATCCATCTGGCAGATTGGTTTTTTCAGAGAACTACACATGCATGTTATTTCACCTCTGTGGCATACAGGTTCCCACTCTGGCATAGAGAGAGCTTGGCAGGTGGCTGTTAACTTCCTGGTCTCTAAGGTACAGTTGCTGTAGAGCTTGGCTGGTAATAATAGTATCCTATAGAAGACTGTTGTATCACATTATTGATTTTCTAGTTATCAATACTTCAACACTTAATGATGCTCTAATGCCTTTGTAATCAACATCTAAGCTCTATGGAGTAACCCAGTACATATTTATTACTCTCTCATGTCTATGAATAATAATGTGGTTTTCCAAAGCTGAGGTTAAATCCACAGAGGCCGTGGTGCAGTAGTTTTATGATCCTTCATATGGTCTGACGGAGAAGTATTTAAAATCCAGATCTCCCCCCAGGATTAAGTTTACATTTATTTTTGGTTTCTTTAGGGTTAGGCTTATATTTTAAAAGGAGGGATATATTTTAACTACCGTATGTTATGTGTGTCCTAGAATTGCCCTCCTAGCTGTCTACACCTGAGTACAACAGCAGAGGCAGCCATAGAAGAAAAAAGTTTGGTGTCCTATGTCACAGCCTAAAAATCCCTGCAAGAGATCCCAGCAAGCAGAAGGTAATGATTTTACAAGAGAGAACAAATGAGGGAGAAGCCTCCATGGCGTATAGCAGGGAATTGGTTCTTGCATCATGGGGTTAATGTGTCAGAAATCAAGCACAAATGCCTTCATGTTCTCTGGCTGTACTTGCAACACCAGTTTTTGCAATGGAAAGATGAGATGGAGTAAGAGGGGTGTGCTGTTGGCTCTTCCATGCCTTCCCCCCTCATCTGACATCTTTCCAACCTACTCCCACAATGCTCCAACCCACATTTTTCCCCAGATCTCAGATTTCTTTATCTTAAGCCATAGTGATTATTTTGCAGAAAAAATAGTAACTTACTTAAAAAGTAATAATAGTGATTGATTTCATGGAACATGCATAAATTGCAGGCACTGAGTGCTTTACATATTTCATTTCATCTTCTTAACTTTATAACAGCTTCTTAACAGCTTTACAGGCCGTTTTGTCTTTATTGGACACTGCGGGAACTGGGGAAGTTAAAAAAACTTGTCCATGGTCACATGGCAGGAACCAGTAAAATGGGCATTGGAACCCAAGTCTACCTAATTCCAAAACTTCTGTTCTTAGTTTGGATTTTACCGTAACAATAGCTGCCACTTGTTAAAGACAAGTTCCAGAACCACCACGTACACAAACAACTTTCTGAGGTTACCGACTTAAACAAGAGATCAGGTTAGCATTACACCCGATATGACATATAAACATCATGTACCCTTTGACACGATGTACTGAATAGGACACAACATCACTTCTGGGTGTTCCTGCCAAAAATGTATAACTTTAATCATGAAAACATCTGAGAAACCCAAACTGAGAGACATTCTACAGAATAACTATTATTCTTCAGTAGTGTCAAGGTCGTAAAGGCAAGGAAAGATTGGGGAACAGCCATGTATTGGAGGAGATTAAGGAGACCCAATAACTAAAAGATTGTGGGAACAGAAAGAGGACATCCGGGGAAAATTGGTGAAATTCAAATAAGATCTGTTTTTAAGTTAATAATATTATAACATTGTTAATTTCCTGATTTTGATAACTGCGCTATGGTTATCTAAGTTGTTAACACAGGAGAAATGGGGTGAAGGGTATACCTCAGTTTTCTGTTCTATTATTGCAACTTTTATGTAAATCTAAAATTATATCAAAAGAAAAAGAAAAAAATGTTTTAAGCCAGCTGAGACCGATATTAATTCTCATTTTAGAGATGAGGCAACAAGAGGTTCAGATGTTTAGGTAACTCACCTAAGATCATACAAATGGTAGTTATTATTAGTGAAGGAAGGAAGAAGAATTTGACCCAGTCTTAGAGATTCCAAAGCTCATTTTAACCACTATGCCGTATGGCTGCCTCATGTTTAAATACGTGTGTTCAAGACATTAGCCCTGAGCCAAACTCCATCCCCATTAGACACTCCTTATACTGGGAGAAGAAAAAAAAAGAAGAATAACAACTTTGTGCCTGTTGAAAAAAAGCAATGTATGTATTTCATTACTATTATAAAATTATATGATATACTGATATATGTTTTGTATATAGAGAGAGCAATATTAATAGAGAATTTTATATTTAAGGCAATTTAAAAATCACATGACGCAGCCAAGTCAAAGTTATACAAATTTTTACCAACAAAAATGAACTATTCATTATAAAGCTGTTCTGATCTTTTTCAAATAATTTCTACATCCTGCATCTCCGAATTATAAATACCATGTTTCTGTCTCTTCTTGCTGCCCAGCTCTCTCAAACTTTTCTCTATAAATACCGTTGGCACAAGTGAAGCTTATACTGTTTAATGCAAAAGATACAAGAAGAAAACCGTCTTTTTGTCTTACTGGAAATTGATATTTTGGAAAAATGAGGAGATTGTTTTAAAAGTTCAGGCCAAAGAGGAGAATGCAAAAAAAAAAAAATTGTCTATAAATTTAAAAAATCTTGATAAAATATAATTACAATGGAAGTCTTTTTAACTTTAAAGGAAAAGCAGAAGTGGATCATTTGGCTCTATTCAAGTCTAAATGACTTAGTGATAAATTCTGGAAAATTCTTTGATGTAATATAATTGTAGCACTATTTCAGTGCTGAAGATCTAACTTGAGATCACTTACTTTCGGAGCCTCCATGTCCTCACCTGCAAAATTGGCACAATAAACTTCCCCAAAATTTTTGCTTTGAGAATTGGATAATTTTATAGTTTATAAAGTACCTTCACGTAAGAGATTTAAGCATTCATTTTTTTTAAGTTTTTTTTCCCTTCTTAATAAGAATCTATTGTACTGTTGATTGTAACTCCTGAAGTTAATAACCTACTTCTGAAGACTTTGACCTTTGTTATTTTGATTTACATGTATTAAGTGTTTCACAGAAATGCAGAAAACAAGTTGCTCTTTGCCAAGAAGTTACACCAACCAGCATACTGTGGTGCTATTTTTAATAGTATGTAATTCCTGTGGCCATTTGATAAAATCAGAAGCTCATAAAATGAAGCCCAGAGTGACAGAGCAAGGAAGTTCAGTTTCATGAGACCAGAGCTATTTCCAGGAGTTCTTTGAGAGGAACTCTAACTTGGATCTGTCTGCTAAATTTAGTCTACCAGCTCCACAGTCGCTCCTCTGTTTCTGTTGATAACAGAAGACAAAGGTTGTGTCTGGAGTTTTTCAGTAGGAGGTGGGTGGGGAGAGAGGGCAAGTGTGTGTGTGTAATTGAGGGAGGGCATCCACTTTTAAAACAGCTATTTATTTATTTATGTTTGTTTACTATAGCCTTGTATTGATTAGAAAAATAATATGTTCATTATAATGAATTTTGAACTGTAAGAAGGTAAGTAGAATTGTTAAGTCACCAGAGGTAACTGTCATCAGTTTGGTGTGTAGACCTAAAGTCTTATCTTCTGTGCGTAATGTATTCTATCTGCGATACAGTTATCACAAAACCACAATCATGCCATATATATATACTGAACAGAAACTTGCTTAAAATTTGCAATATAGAATATCACATGCATTCTTCCACATCACTGAACATTTTCCAAGAAGATATAAATTATAATTTTGTGGAATTACTTATAAGGGTACTGATTCATTTAGTCTGTTTCTTATTGTTGAACAAATGGACTCCTTTCTTCCCCCTGAGATTGGTGCCAACTGAAACCCACAGGTCAAAAGTCCATTAACTGTAATCCCAATTCTTAATTCCCAAGTTTAGTACCGTGTAAAATCTACCTAATATGAAAGGTATATATACGTGTATCCCTCTAACAATCCAATTTTATCTAATAGTTTTAACCTGGTAGTACCAGAGAATTAAAAAGAAGAGGAAGACGAAGACCTGTCTCCTACCCTTGTACTTTACAGGTGGAGAGCAGGGTTGCCTGAAATGCCACTTTCTTCTTCATCACACTGTACAGCAAAGGGATGTGAACATTTAGCAAGTGATGGGTTAGGATTTCATTCCTTCCTGAACCGCCCCATGTCCCCTTCCACACTGCAGTTAGATCCCTGAAAGGTGGATGGGAAAAAGACAAGAGGGAAAGACAGAGGGATTCACCAGGGCCATGCAGACCTGCCCTGCCCCACCTGAGCCTGCGGCGGGGCCACTCATAACTCCATTCAGCTCAGCGGCTGAGCATGGTTGGCTTTTTGTTTTTAACATTTTTAAAAATTTGTGGTAAAATATACATAACATCACATTTACCATTTTAACCATTTTAAGTGCACAATTTAGTGGTGTTAAGTATATGCATTTCTTCTACAACCATCACCAGTGTCCATCTCCAGAACTTATCACCCCAAACTACAGCTCTTTAGTTGTTTTTTAAATGTTAAAATTCAGAACAAAAACAGGTTCCTAGGGGCAAAGCAATTTGATTTGAAGGAAATTGTAAATAGGGATGGAGGAAACTCACACGAGGACTTTTCCCCGCTGTCCCTTCTCTCTCCACTTGCGATTACTTTCTTAAAGACAAAACCTGTGGTCATGGCAGCACCACGCTTCTGCATAGGTAGTGCTCCCAGAGTTCTTTGCTCTTGTTTGCACCTCAATACACTTTCCCAGAATGGCTTTTTCAGAACACTCTTCTTGAACTGTTTTACATACCATGGGAATCAGGCAACACTGTTAAAATTCTCAGTTATATATTTGCTTTAATGTTCATTAGTTTAAAAAGAATTGCCAGTACATTAAATATCTGTTTTCATGGATATTGTTGCCTAGGACAAGACAGTGTTTTGTGTTTTTTTTCAATTTTCTTTCATTTATTTTTTTATAGAGCAGATTCTTCTTAGTTATCCATTTTATACATATTAGCGTATGTATGTCAATCCCAATCTCCCAATTCATCCCACCACCGCCACCAACCCCCGCCAGTTTCCCCCCTTGGTATCCATATGTTTGTTCTCTACATCTGTGTGTCAATTTCTGCCCTGCGAACCAGTTCATCTGTACCATTTTTCTAGGTTCCACATATATGCGTTAATATACAATATTTGTTTTTCCCTTTCTGACTTACTTCACTCTGTATGACAGTCTCTAGATCCATCCATGGCTCTACAAATGACCCGATTTCGTTCCTTTTTCTGGCTGAGTAATATTCCATTGTATATATGTACCACATCTTCTTTATCCATTCGTCTGTTGATGGGCATTTAGGTTGCTTCCATGTCTTGGCTATTGTAAATAGTGCTGCAATGAACATTGGGGTGGATGTGTCTCTCTGAATTATGGTTTTCTCTGGGTATATGCCCAATAGTGGGATTGCTGGGTCATATGGTAATTCTATTTTTAGTTTTTTAAGGAACCTCCATACTGTTCTCCATAGTGGCTGTAAAACTTAGATTCCCACCATCAGTGCAAGAGGATTCCCTTTGGTCCACACCCTCTCCAGCATTTGTTCTTTGTAGATTTTCTGATGATGCCCATTCTAACTAGTGTGAGGTGATACCTCATTGTAGTTGTGATTTGCATTTCTCTAATAATTAGTGATGTTGAGCATCTTT